TAGGCTGCCCTCCTTCAATTTCCAACATGGCTACCTCAGCTCAGAACCCCCAGTTTTAGGCAGGTTTATCCAGGTCTACCTGGATAGCTCAATTGGTTAGAGCATGGTGCTGATAATGCCAAGGTTGCAGGTTTGGTTCCCATATGGGACAGCTGCAGGGGGTTGGACCAGATGATCCTCAGGGTCCCTTCCAACTTTACCAATTCTATGACTCTATGATTTTTCATAAGTAAGTTCCATTGGGCTTGATGGGATTACTCTCAAATCAGTATACAGATGATTTTTTCATATGACAGGCCCAGGGCTGACCCAAGATGCTTTGCTGTTGTAGGCAAAATGCCCCGATGCCCTCCTACTCCCCTGGCACCCCCTGGCAGATCCTGGTCCCTCACTCCCTGTCCTCATCATCGAACCCCCGCTGCTTCCAGCCCTGTCACTGTGACTGTACCATGACCCGTGCCTACGCTGCTGCCACAATTCAATAGCAGCAGCAGCAGCAAGGGTATAGCAGTGAGTGCAGTGGGGCTGTGTTGGTGCCATGGGTGGGGCTGGCAACAGCACATTGGCGGGTGTGTGGAGGAGGTCAGATCTGCAATGGCTCTTATCTTGCCTAATGCATGGGCTGCCCCTGGGCAGACCAGTGCAGCTGCTATCCTAGAAAGCAAGTGAAATGAATTCCTTTCTGACTTCCGTGTGCTATGCACAGAGACACATGCATGTGTAGGGAGAAATACCCCCTTTCCCCAAGCCATACTGACAGGAAAAAGGGTTTTATTTTTATTTTCTCTCTCTAATAAAACACTACTCCCAATTTCTTTGAAACAGTTTTAAAAGCCAAGATAAATGCTCGGTCCCAGCGCCTGCCAACCTAGCAGTTCAAAAGCACCCCTGGGTGCAAGTAGATAAATAGGGACCGCTTTATAGCGGGAAGGTAAACGGCGTTTCCGTGTGCGGCTCTGGCTCACCAGATGCAGCTTTGTCATGCTGGCCACGTGACCCGGAAGTGTCTCCGGACAGCGCTGGCCCCCGGCCTCTTGAGTGAGATGGGCGCACAACCCCAGAGTCTGTCAAGACTGGCCCGTATGGGCAGGGGTACCTTTACCTTTTTTAAATGGGGGATAATTGACCCAGAAGGGAGGAAGGGGTGTAATGGAAGAATGGGACCGCTTCAGGAGGTTTGTGCAGGGCCTGTAAAAGGAGACTGGGCATTAGGTTGCCCACATAGGTCCCTAAACCTCTCACCAGATGCACTTCTGCCATTTTGACTACCAACATAAACCTTTCAAAATAAAAGGACTTAGTGCTGGCATGCAAACTTATAGCCTGTTCTCATAGCAAACCATTCAGACGACCTGTTTGCTGTGAGCAATGAGGAAAGGCAGCCAACAACAAACAGCACCGTCTCAGCAGCAGGTTGGGTGCCTGTAGAATCTGTGGGTTAAATAATGTCCAGATTAAAAATGTGTTATTGGATGGGTACAGCCTGTCAACACAGTCTGAAGGAAAGATTTAAGCCTGGAGCAACTGGGAGCTGTCAGCCTGCTGTGATGTCTTGTCTTCCCTCCAAGACACATCCAGAGTTTTCAGCTTCCTTCCTGGAAATGAATGAGCTACAATCATCCAGGGAAATCTTAGTCACTTCTGTCAGGAGAAATATTTGTTTGGTTTTCAATTGTGTTGGGCAGGGGAAAGGATTCAGGTGCAAGAAAGAATAGAAAGATTTGTGTAATGGGTTAAACAGACTGGTTTTAGAGCTGATATTATCACTTGAATTGTATATTTTGGCTACAGGCTTGAGAAATGATGCAAAGCAACGTCTAGCTACTAGAGCCTTGCCTGGCTGCACATCGCCTTGCAGTGTCTCCAGCCCTCTATAATAAGAAGTGGCTGGTTTTATTTTCCCAAGGAACTGTTTGATGAGAAACAGTGCTTTGAAATGGGGAACCCTCCAGCTTTCCAAAATGATTATTTATGTTTTTACTTTTTTACTTTTTCTCACCGCCAGCTCCGAACTGCTGCCTTGTTTTGTTGTAACTTTTCACTGGATCTCTTATAGTTTTGATGAAAATGTACTTTGCAGGTGCCTGGAAACTTATTGATCAAGGGGACTTGGGCTGCTATACTTCCTGTCCTGAAATTTGCAATAGTTTCTAGGTCACTACTTCCCAATTGGTGGTCTGTGGACCCCAAGGGGGTAACCCATGTAACCCACCCAGGGTGTCTGTGGCACCATTCACTTAACAAACACTACCACAGAGATATCAATTTTTTCAAAAGTAGCAGTCCACTGGCTTGGCTTTTGAAAAACAAGGGGTTTGCAGTACTTATCTAATTGGGAACCACTGCTCTAGCTAGCTTAAAGTCACCCTGGAAGGAACAGTCTGACCAAAGGCCAACAGTGTGTTCCCCAACAGTGTGTTCCCCAGTTTCCTGAGTGGTGGATATGGCGATGAAACCAGGTGTAAACTGTGTTTCCTTGTTGGTATTGCAGAATACATGGCTGGAATGGACACAATATAGAAATGAATACACTCATACCTTGGAGAAATTGTGGGTATGCCTGTAATGTAAAACAATTAATTTGTGTTATGTTAACTTTCTGGATGTTCGTTTAGATATGCAGTTTTCTTTCATAAAAGTTGAGAGTTCTGTTTGGTTGGAAAACCAGGTTTGATTGATGATTTGTATTATGTCCATGGAATACACATGAAAAGACCCATATGCTAGACTTAACTTTATTTGACTGCAGCTTTTATCTGGCTTGCTTTACAATGGCATAATACAATATAGTTGAAAAGGCAGTGGCACAGTGCCAAAGAGAGAGTGTTGAACGGTGTGCATGGATAAGAATAAAATTTGCCCTTTCATTTCCCATGTATTGTGTTTGTAACGTCACTGTTACTGTTAATACAAGTATTAGCACATGCCTGTTACACTGGTTACAAGGTCAGCTTGCAAAACCTCCTTATTTATCATAGAAGCTTTGATTACTAAGCTATATAATTGGGAGGGAAATTCATGTGCAGTTTTACTATTGATACCTATATTTTCTTATAATAACTGAGGAACTGCCCCATAACATAGCTGGGAGACATGGACATTTAAATATTGCTGTACCTAGGAAAGCACAGAACATATCTGCAGTCAAAATTAAACAAAGGAATATGTTACATTGCACCTTGCTTTTGAGATTGTTGTTATGTTTGCAGTATTAACCACCAAAATCCTGCAAAGCTAATACATGAATCAGCAATGACCAATGGTAACTGTCTCATATCTAAGTTGATATGGTACACTTCTGCCAGGAAGGACTGATAGTGGGGTGCTTAACTCAAAGGGGTGCCTTTGCGGTTGGTTTTCCCCATTTTGAAGTTATTCTGCATTCTAAATCCACAAAGACCTATCCGTCCGTTCCTGGCTTCAGTGTGGGAGCTTGGGGTGAAGTTCGGCATCTAGCCCTAGTGGAATTTCATTGCTCTGACACAAGTCTATTGTGCGAGCCTCTATGCTTCCCATTCAGCTTCCTGGGCCTCAGGCCATGCTTGCAAGTGGAAGGCTAAAAGGACACAGGCAGACAGAGCAGAATGAAAAGAAGCATATGGTCCACTATTCGTTGTACACCACCAGTTGGGCAACCCTGATTTAGCATTGTAAACAGTGCAGAAGCCTCATGAATGCAAGAGCCAAGAAAGATGCAAGAACAGAGCCTTAGAGACCGAGGAAGGGCTCATTGGACAAGTTAAAGTGTCAGATTACTTACATGCAGAACAAGGACAGCCCACCAAACTAATTTGGTTAAAGGCTGGGATAGGAAGCATTAGGGAAAGCAGCACCGAGTTGCCAGCTAATGTTGACATGGGTGTTTTTATTTTAATAAATAAGTGGCCCCTTTGTTCTGTATAAAGAGCAAACAATGAATATAATGAGCTCTTATGAAGAGGAAAAAGGAAGCATTCTCAACAAATGCAGTATAAATTATAACCGACCCTAGTTAAAGATCTCATCCTAGAGTTATTGTGGCCCCATACACCCACTGAAGTGAGTGGGAATCTTGGAAGAATGAAGAATGGGCACAATTGCATGCTTGCCTGTGATGTTATGTTCCCCCCACCCCTCTCATTGGCCGTTATTAACTTATTTTCTCTTAGGCATTTTTTTTTACAGTATGATGTAATGTGCATACCTAACTCTGCAATTGTGATTTGAGGTGGTGCAGAGCCTGCCTCAGGTGTGCTGATTGGGTTGCAGCATCTTCCTGATTTGTGTACATGTGGCAAAAACCTCTAGGCGGTATCCAGTTGTGTCCCTCTGTTCACAGAAGGCTCTTTAGTCCAGTGGAGGTTTCTGTGAATGGAAGTAGGAGAAGCCATTTTTTTTAGGGTGGGGATGAAGCGTCCACTGCACCCTCCCAAAATCTACTATGGTAGCTTGGGAAATGCCACAGAACAGTTGGGATGGAGCTACAGCAGAAAGGGGTGATCGTGAAAATCACATCCCTCATCCTTCTGTCCATTGATGTCTCTGTTGGAGGAAAGAGTCTTCTATGGTTGTGTAGACACAACTGGATACAAATTTTTGTAAAGTTGCCATTCAAGTGCTACAAAGTGTACAAGCTCTCTCATAGGGATTGGTCTCTGAGTTTGGAAAGTAATGTTTAAATTTAATGTATTTGCAACTGCAGTTTCAGTACAGTAAACCTTCTGTTTTTGTGCATTTACCTGTAACTTACCTGCATTCAGGTTTACACGCTTGGCAATTTTTTAAAGAAAAAGTGGAAAGGGGATGGAAACGCGGTGGCTGTACTCAATGATGTTCTCAAGTGTCCCAGCAAAATAGGAATACAACAGAGCATGGAGATTCTGTATATGTGGAATTTTATTTTTATAACTACTCTGGGTCTTAGTAGATGCTTGTTGTTCGATTGAAACATGCATATGATCAATTAAAAAAAAAAACCTGAGTTGATTTCTTATGCATTCATGTGCATTTTTAAATTTTAGAATCTAAATGCAAAGAAACACTTCTTCATCTCGCAATGAGACTGGGGCTGGTTAAACTTTCCCAGTTCCTGTTATGCCAGCCAGGTGGGACAGTTGCAATCACTCTACCTAATGAAGATGGGTTCACACCTTTGGACTTGGCTTTACAGAATGGGCACTTGAGGCTTGTTGAACTCATTTCCAGGTAAGTGGTATGCCTTCATATGAGTTTTTAGTGCTATGGGCCAGATTTAATAGCTTCTATCATGTGTATAGGGACGCTTGTGGCACTGTGGGTTAAACCACAGAGCCTAGGACTTGTCGATCAGAAGGTTGGCGGTTTGAATCCCCGCGACTGGGTGAGCTCCCATTGCTCGGTCTCCGCTCCTGCCAATCTAGCAGTTCAAAAGCATGTCAAAGTGCAAGTAGATAAATAGGTTAGGTAAGGTGGGAAGGTAAACGGTGTTTCCGTGCGCTGCTCTGGTTCGCCAGAAGCGGCTTAGTCTTGCTGGCCACATGACCCAGAAGCTGTACGCCGGCTCCCTCGGCCAATAAAGCGAGATGAGCGCCGCAACCCCAGAGTCGGCCACGACTGGACCTAATGGTCAGGGGTCCCTTTACCTTTACCTTTATCATGTGTATGCTTCTTTCATGTTCAACCAATACCTTGGATTGGTTACTAATATGAAACAAGTATACAAATGAGAAGGGGGGAGATCCCATCCTATTGATATTTGGAAACAGGGCAGACAAATGGGGCATCAAAGGAGAGGCAGATGAGGTTAATTTTAGGTTAATCCCCTAGCAAATGTGCTTGATTTGCACTGCATTTATTTCCACATGTTAGAGTTTTTTTATGGACACTTTCTCACCATGATACATGGATAAATGGATTGGATTTTTAAATTGCATTATCAGCTCTTAGCATCTGATGAAGTAGACCAGGCATAGGCAAACTCCGGCCCTCCAGATGTTTGGGACTACAATTCCCATCATCCCTGTTAGCTAGGGATGATGGGAATTGTAGTCCCAAACATCTGGAGGGCCGGAGTTTGCCTATGCCTGAAGTAGACTCTAGTCTATAAATGGTTATGCCGATTTGACATTTCTTAGCTTTTAAGGTGCTATTAAGACCCTTTCATTTTATTGCAGCAGATTAGCATGATGTTTGCTAGCCTGTCTCACAATCTCACTCTACTGACTACTCAGTTATTATACAGCTCTTTTTGTCACTTTATGTTGCCTCCTTCCATTTCTATCCAATCCTCTCAGCTGTTCACAAAAGACATTGGGACAGAATAGTTTTTAGGCTCCACGCAATGTATTGCTGCTGATTTGGTCTGCCACATATTTGCCTCTGTCCATTGGTAAATCATCACATGACACTGTTAGGAAATATATACAAAACACACACGTACAAAAACAAGAAAAGTAATTTAGTTGCTCCCCCCCACTCTTTCAACAACATTGCTCTTTTATTTCTGGCTTTGCACAGTACACAGTTTGTATGAGACGTTATCCATACTTTTATTTGCATGAGAAAATGACTTAATTCTGTTATCACACATGTTGTTATGAATGTCTCACTTGTTTGGAACATTCAAACAATGCTGTATTCCCCCGAGACTCTCTGTTGTGCACTGCAATATGCTAATAAGCCTCCTGGCTGCCAGTTCAGCTTGATTGCTGTAAATGGCAATGTTCATGTGAAAGTGAGCTGCGTCTTCTCACAAAACCAGGCGTCAAACCTCCTATTATTTTATTCTGTTAGGGTAAAGGTCAGTTTGTGGGTTCATGGGGAAAGGTTTCCTGGTAAAACAGTGCTCGCTGTGGTTCCTTCATTCTATTTTGGCCTGAGATTTTTTTTGCCATGAATAGGTTAGGCACTGAAAAGGTGGAAGCCACGGAGAGTGAGGAGTTTCGTGCCTTTTGCATTACATGCTTCCTGAGCTTTGCACTCTTATTTTAATCTACTGAATGTGTTGTTTTCAGGAGGCAGCCCAGCCATCCATCTGAGATTTCTAAAGTGGAGCTTGGTGAGACTGCAATCCTACAATTTGCTCATTCATCAGGAACTCTGACACTGACACTTAATCGCGCGTCAGACCATTTGCTAGAATCTGATGTTCAGCTCTTCAGGAAATATTTATGGGATAGAGCTTTTCTGCACAAGGTAAGTGCCAAAACAGCAGTACAGAGAAGTGTATTTTTCTTTTCGCAGAATTTTTAAAGATTTGTTTATTCACACACGGTAGTTGAATTGCTCTTCCTTAGGTAACGGAGTGGTAGGAATTAGCTCCTGTGATTTTTTTGCACAGAGTGCTGCAGGGAACTAGGCAAAGAGACAGATTCCTTGCTGGTTTCTTCTTTGACCCAGAGGCAACAGCGGTGGAGACTTCCATACCAGCTGTTATGTTAGACTTCCTGGAAAATTCGTTGACTTTTTTGGCCTTAAACTCCCAGTAGCACTTATTGCAGAGGGAAGAAAGAGCATAATGTTGGATGTTTGTCAGTCTCCACTCCTTCTCCATGCAAAGCTGGGAGAGGGAAAGCAATAACAAGCAAGCATTTCATAGCTTGTTACATGGATGCTCATTGAGAGGCTTTTGCGACACATCCTAGGCAAGTAAACAAATGGTAATTCACGAGACTGTAGCCCAATGCTTGCTTACCTTTGCAACATTTTAATTGCCATATAAAATACATTAAAAACAATTGGCCTCTGTGATTTCGTGGGTTGTTTTTTTTTTTGCGGCTGTTCAGAAAATTGTATCCTAAAATGATTGCAATGTATCCTCAAATCAGAATACTGTAGATGAGATTTCTGTTGTAGTCAGGTACAGTGACTTAACTGTGTGTTCTCCCTTCCTCTTGTCCCTTAGATGAGGGGAAACCCTACTTGTTGACTTGGGCCATGAGATGTGTTAACTAGTTAAGTTACAGACATGTATGTGTGGAGCCTGAATGCAATGGCCAGGGTTCAAAAGATCACTCATGATTAATCTATTGCGTAAAAGCCATAGAAAATTAATTCCCAGAGAAGTAGGTGATACTTAGGTATAAATCCCATTGATTCCAGTTGAGAGCCTGATTTTCTCTGGACTACCATATCTATCTACACTGGCACAGATCTTTCCAATTGGAACAGAAATGAAAAGCAATAAATATTTCATAATAAACAGTTCTATGAAAATAGGCTAGATGCAGAATTTTTCTTGGGTACTGTGGTAAATATTGAAACAGCTATTGACAGAGAGTATAATTGCAGCATAGCTGAAAATGTTGCTAATGGAAGGCTGAGAAGTTGGTATGCAAATTAAATAAAGCACTCTTGCCCCTCATGTAGGTAAAGTGGATAAAGTACTTTGTGTAGCATGCATATTTTAAGAAAAAGAGCTGCACTATGCCCAAGCAAGCAATATGACTTCTACAATACAGTTCAAGAAAATTAGTAGGAAATGTCTGACTGAGTCCATAGTACAAAGAATAAACAGGATGTCCTGGGCAGACAAGCAGCAAAGGCTGCTCAGAATTTGGAAGAGAGAGATGGTAAATAAAGACTCATTTGGCTGCCTAAGTTTAAGAGTGCCCCTGAGAAAAAGCTGGCAGGAGAATCGGGTGAAAATGGTTTTGGGATAGAATAGGCAAAGAGGATAGGACATGAATGGGGAAATTGTAGCTCTCCAGGTATTGCTGGAATACAGTTCACCCTTGAATATTGGCCATATCAGAGATATTTGGAGAACAATGCCTATTTATTTATTTATTTATTTATTGTATGTGTCACCTCTTCATTGCCATAGGCAATCTCAGAGGGAGGAGTGTACCAGATCCAAGCGATCTGAATCTACCCTGACTTCCAGCAAAGTACGTGTCTCAAATAAAGCACATTTTTAGCATTCCCAAATTAAGTTTCTCCCATCTTCCCAAACATTACCATTTTTAAAAAATAAGAGTAATGTGATGAGTGGCCCAGACATCCCCTGAACTATGCCAAATGAGGCCTCCTTTTAAGTAAGCAAGATCTGGGGCAACACACTTTCTCCTTTTTGCTCCTTGGAGTGAAGATGCCTGGAAAGGCTTCAAAGAGAGAGAGGCTGTTTTCAGGGCTTTATGTAACTATGGTGGTTGCTTCCCTCAGTTTTGAATAGAGCGCCAGTTGTGCTTTCATCCTTTTTCCTCCTCAGCTTGTAAATAAACAGATTTACACAGAAATCCTGATGAAGAGTCCAGTCTTTCCAGCCAAAAGGCAATGCTGCCTTCCAAAGGCATTAACTTTCCATCCCTCAAGGATGGAGAGACTAATGGCCTTTTGCTGGCTAATGGACAAGGGCCAATACTGCTATTGTGCAAACTTCTTAACTGATTAAATTCATATCCATTCCTATGATATGAATGGGTTAATTAATTTGTGGGGCTCTTGGGGAAGCCATAGAGAACTAACAAAATTTGCAGCATCCTTGTAAAATTACTTACTTGCATTCTTTGGGGGGATGTTTTAAGATACTTATTTATTTATATATTTAAATTTGAAGTATATCAAAATAGGAGCTGGAATCATATTGACATAGCTTGTCTTTTCAACTACAGTGGTACCTTGGGTTACATACGCTTCAGGTTACATACGCTTCAGGTTACACACTCCACTAAGCCAGAAATAGTGCTTCAGGTTAAGAACTTTGCTTCAGGATAAGAACAGAAATCAGGCTCCAGTGGTGTGGCGGCAGCAGGAGGCCCCATTAGCTAAAGTGGTGCTTCAGGTTAAGAAGAGTTTCAGGTTAAGTATGGACCTACGGAACGAATTAAGTACTTAACCCTAGGTACCACTGTATTGCAGTCTGGCTGTCATTACATACAGTTCTCATAACATGACATTTGGCCACAGGTGAATGGCTATAGCTCAGTGTCAGAGGATCTGCTTTTCATGCAGAAGGTTCCACTTTCAGTTCCTGGCATCTTCCAGTAGGGCCAGGAAGGATTTCCTGTCTGGAGCCCTGGAGATGCACTGCCAATCAGTGTAGTCAATACTAGGCGGACTGTTAGTCTGACTCTGTAAAGGGCAGCTTCCTGTGTAAGTTCTTTTTGCTCTTAACTTCAGTGAGGTTGCTGTATCCTGGGCCTGCAGACCATGGCCATGACCTTCTGGAGCATGTTAAAAGTATTATTCTCCAAGTTTGCTTTGCGTATGTGATATTGGAGATACAGTTTGTTTTATCTAAAATGTATATAGTATGCATGCACACAATATATTTTGTTTTGTTTTGTTTTGTTTTGTTTCCTGTGCTTTTAAGATTTTATGGTATCTTGCTGACATTTTGTTGTTACCTATCCTGAGGTCTTTGGATTAAAGGTGGGATGTGCATCTCTAAATAAAGAAATAACAAGATGATTTTATTTTCTCCTGGTATGCCCCACAGAGGAACTTACGGTCCTCAAATAAAAACATCTTGAAGGTCCCAGGCCACAGAGAGGTTAGGCTGGCCTCAACTAGAGCCAGGGCTTTTTCGGCTGCGGCTCCAACCTGGTGGAACGCTCTGTCACAAGAGACAAGGGCCCTGCAGGACTTGACATCTTTCCGCAGGGCCTGCAAGACAGAGCTGTTCCACCAGGCCTTTGGTTAGGGCACAGCCTGACTCCCTCCTTTGGCAATCTTTACAATACTTTAGTTTATGGTTGCCATCAATTTTGATTTTAATTAATTCTTATGATGTTTTATAATGTTGCACTATTTTAGTGTTGTTAGCCGCCCTGAGCCCGGCTTCGGCTGGGGAGGGCGGGATATAAATAAAATTTATTATTATTATTATTATTATTATTTTATTTTATTTTATTTTAAAGAATCTTCCTCCAAAGCAAGCTGAGACCTTGAAAAGAGTTCAGATGCCTTGCAATTCTACAGCTTCTGAAGAAGGTACGGGTTTTCTGTCCTTACTGTGGCATTTTCACGAATTAGGTGTGTAAAATACATTGAAATAATTTTTGTTTCATGTGCAGCCAGAAAACTGTTCAGTACATAGGCAATGTGGGGTGAAAGCAATCTCATGAGTAAATGTCAAGGTGCTTGCTGTTGAGCTGAATAGCCTTTAATAATTTGACTGCAGGGTGGTTACAAGGAAGAAAGGAGAACAGCGTTATAAAGCACTTTGTGTATAGAAAAGATTTTAAAAGTCATTAAAATATACATTCTATTGAGAAAATTAAGTTTCCTGAAGCGGACCAGGTCTTGAACGCTGTGATATAACTGATAAGATTTGTTAACTATGACCCAGTCCCAGTAGATGGGACCAACATAGGAGTCTGAGCGCAGATCATCCTAGTATATGAGCAAAAAGAGCTGTGGAACAGAGAGGGGGGGGGGAGAATCTCCGGCCGTTTGGCTTGGATTGGCTGCTCTCTTCTCAAACAAAAAATTGTATTTCTCATGCTGCATTTGTGGAACTGAATCTCCCGTATGTATGGAGAGAGAACTTCATGCACATACGTTCTTCCCTTCCCCTGATAGAGAAGGGGTGAGGGGTTTGATGCGCCTTTGTGATTCCTTTATTTATTTATTTATTTATTTAAATACTTGCATACACCACAATTTCATAAAAACCACCAAAGCAGTTTGCAACAATACAGTGATACCTCGGGTTAAGTACTTAATTCGTTCCGGAGGTCCGTTCTGAACCTGTTCTTAACCTGAAGCACCACTTTAGCTAATGGGGCCTCCTGCTGCTGCCGCGCCACCAGAGCATGATTTCTGTTCTCATCCTGAAGCAAAGTTCTTAACCTGAAGCACTATTTATGGGTTAGCGGAGTCTGTAAACTGAAGCGTATGTAACCTGAAGCGTATGTAACCCGAGGTACCACTGTATATAAACCCACACAGTGCTTTCTTTTGGTAAAAATAAAAATGAGGTGCCGGTACTTGTACATTACTAGAAGTATTGTAGATTCCAGCACAAAATGGCTGCCACGGGCAGCAAAGGAAGAGGTGCTGGCACTCTGTACTAGGGAGAACTGTCAGAAAAAAATGGCCCCCATACTGTACATATATACATAACAGTAAAAACCACATGAATATTTAAAATTACATATCATTAGCGACCCCAGAAAATGAGCCTGTTGGCAAATAAACGTTTTTGGCAAATGTTTAAAGGTGATGGTAGAAGATGCCCACTGAACTAAAGGGTTGGTTTCATGTTGATGTCAAATGAAGCTCACCAACTTGAGGGACAACCAGGGACACTCAAACAGAGCTGGGATGTAAGGGACGGATTTTTGGATAAGGCAAATGGGCTCTGCTCTACACAGAAATCTGTAGATGTTATACCCTTGAATATGAAGTGTGAAGGTAGTTAGGATCTAAATATTTTGGCTCCGTATACTAGCCATCTGTAAATTCTTCAAAAATGCCAGAAGAGGGCAGAATTCCACTGATGCTATTTCAGTGTAATATATACCGCATATAGCACTTTTCCAGGTATCTTTGATAATGAAGTTTTTGCCTCTCTAATTTTGAGGGCATATTTGTAATTTTGTGAGATTCACTCCTATCACTTCGAAACTCGATTTTCACAAAGCAGAACTGATTCCATCAAGATTATGGGCGTTTGCCGCATTGTCATACATCAGAGTTTTTGTAGACTGATATCCACAAAATATTATAATGTAGAAACCAAGAGGGGAAAATAATTCATAGTTATTCATTTTTCATCGTTGGCATAGGAATCTTCTTCACTTTCTATTCCTTTAATGCAGCAGGAAAAAATTACAGGACATATAAAGATCAGGCTGCGGATATAGACACAACACATGTTACTCAGAAGCAGGCCTTGCAGTGGGACTTAAGTTTCCTTGGGTTAAGTGTCTACAGAAGGGCAGCTTTAAATGTTCTAACTAGAGATGGTCCTTCATTTGGTTTCATAAAGGAACTATTTTGGATCAAAGGAGATGTGAAGCATTATTGCAGAGAGTCAGTGTAAGTTGTAAAGGAGGCTTGTCTGGCGCCTTCGTTCCATAGCTTTAGGCACCACCACCACCACCATCATCATTTTTAATTTGTATACCGCCTTTCTATCTTACAATACTCAATACAAGCTGAAGAAACAAAAAATGTACATCTTATAACAATCGAATGCAATACAAAATGTGATAACAAAACATAACTTTAAAATAGACAACCTCCATCAAAAAAGTAACATTCAACAATCATTAGAATAGTATAAAATAATAATATCAACATATAAAAGTTAAACAGAAATCCACTCAACAGTTTCAATAATATCTAAACTATAATCAATAAAACAACGGCAGGCCACAGTACATAAAAGAATACAATACACATTGAGAAGCAGAGGGTGGAGCAAGGCAGGTGGAAGGAGGCCTTGCCTGATGGTGTCTCTCCCCTCACAGTGAATATGTTTCTCTATATCCAGGCCTTTGACTGATTAACATTCTATGGCCTTTTAAATATGATTGGGGGGCATTATTGTTTTGTTTTGTTTTTGTTTTGTTATGTATTTTGTGTTCTCATTTTGTATTATGTTGTGAACCACCCTGTGATATTCAGATGAAAGGCGGTATACAAATTTCAATGATGACGACAACAACATTGCAGGGGTGGGGAACCTGTATGGTCCATGGTTAGTGATTATGGGATGTTGTCCAGCAACATCTGGAAGGCTTCAAGGTCACCATTTCTGTGTTGTTTCTTTCTTAGAAAACAACACAGAAGTAATATGCTTAGCAATTGTTTCCCCCTTATTATGAGAGTGAATCTCCCATAACTTAATCACGTCCAAAATGAGTGAGGCTGAAATTCCAGTCATACACTTTTAATTAACAAAACACTCTGTTTGCTAAATGAGTCCTTTAAGGGAGAGGAAATCTATGACAAATAGCAATTTGGTTTAGAATTTAGTCCTCAGGAAAGTATTTAGAAGAACTTAGTAAACCATTCTCTATGCATTAAAGTTTAACATTTTCTTTTTTGTCTGCAAGCACTCTTTATCTCATTTTATCCACTGTTTGTGGCACTTGTATATTACTGTGTCAGACTCTTGCAGTCCCCGCCCCCCCCCCCGTCTAGCTGGTGGATATAAAAGAAAAAGAATAAGAAGCTTGTTAATGCTCAGAAGCATTTCAGCATTGCCCTCTGTTGCACTTCCAGCAATTTGTCACTAGCAATTCATTTTGGTGCTTTTCTTGCATCCTGCCTTAGTCTGCCACCTTCAGGCTTCTGGAGGTGGGAGAGCAAAACTGAATCTGTCAGTGTTTAGGAGGGAAGCCTGAGCATAGAATAAGATAACAAGTGTTCTGTCCACTAGATATGGATGGCAGAGCAGTCTGCATTCACCCCTTGTTGGCTTGCCAGCTGGGTGTTTCTACATTGTAGAATATGATTGTTAGATGCAAATCTTCCTGTAGCAGGAGATTGCTAAGTGACTGCGGTGCCTTGAGTTCTGGGACACTATATAAGGTCTAGTCTTTAGAAATGATGCTATTGGCTGTTGGATCTGAGAAAAACACATTGTAGGGAAAAATTGAATACACTATCATGAGTATTTAATTTTGTTGCAAAAACATAAGCCAGGAAGTTGATGTAAAATGAAGCAGTGATAAGAATGGAGGTAGTATTCCTCTGAAGGAAAGGTACGAGGGCTTTGTTACTGTGGATCAAACAAGGGCTGAAAAATCATACTAAAGCACTAAAACGATCTGTTTTTATAAAGCAGCACATTTCATATATTTTTTAGAGCAGCTTTTCATGTTACAGGCAGAACTTCCCCCTCTTCTCCAGGTCTTTGAATTCCCAGCATTTTTCCTTGGATATTGCATAGGAAGTTGCAAAGAAGCAGTATGATTCACTTGGGCTTCCTCCCCCTGCCTGCTTTTATATAATATCTGAAAGTGTTGCTAAGAGTATATTTAAAAGAACCCGATAGATTTCCATCCCATGAAACAAGAGAAGTATAATAAAAAATGACTAAAAGAAAAAATATTTGTTTGTTTAATAAAATGTATATACCGCTTGATTGTAAATAGTGGTTTACAAAAAACTCCACCAAACATTAAACAAGGTATCAGCGAAGTTTATTCATTCATTTTTAAAAACTCCATTTATTTTACCTACTCACATAGGTTGTAGGGTGAACAGGAGATTACACAAAATGTGCTTAGGCACAGAATATTCATGTCTCTCTTTCATAATGCTGGCACTGTCTGTGGCTGGAGGAAAATGAATTAAATATGGATTTGGTGCAGTATGTCCTTCCTTCAGAGTTTTGAGAAGGAGCCAGGAAACAAAATAATACTGTAGTCACAATTGTTCCCTGTAGTCAAAGGGAAAGAGTTAGCTTTTAAAATGCATGAAATTGCCTTCCCTCCCCCCCCCTTCAATAATAAAATCAGGATCCCATGTGTATTATAAAATGCCTGTGGCAGTCTGTGCAGTTCGACAAGTACATATTAATCCATAAGGCTAGTTTAGGGTTCAGCATGTATTTTCACAGCACGCCCCTTTAAAGGAAAAAAGAGAGCTTGTTTACAATCAGCCCATTAAAACAGCACAACAGCTTGTTGAAGAAATGTCTAGTATTTCAACCACAGGCATGCTACTTTGGGAGCCGTGCTTATATCGTAAAAGAACATTGTTAGGTCTATGTATATCCTTCTATTTCTCACTTTCATTATGTTTGGGGGGGGTGGAATCAATTTCCACAATTGGCAACCACCAAATCCTAATGGGAGAACGGATTCTCTTTAAACAGATCCCATGGACTTTGTTTCTGAAGAGCCAGCTTTCAAAAATGAAGATTCAACGGTACAGTTCTATTATCATTTTATGAATGGCTAAATCCACGGAGGTTCTTCTACAGCACCTTCCAGGATTGAAAATGAAGTTGGCTTATGCCTTCCAAACAGCAGTTCTTTCTATTCTTCTTCCAAGAGAAATATCTAAGCTGCCTGAGTAATTTCAACCTTCAGCCAGACAGTATGGTTTGCTATGGGGGAAGAAGTAATTTTATTTTTATTTTTTGCCTGGGATACAAAGCTGCGATAATTGTGACCAGTCATATTTTAGTTGGGCATATAGGCTGGCAGGAATAGCCTCTGAGAACTAGGGGCTTTTATGACTGCAGCTCTGTTCTGCAGAGACTTCTATTTATCTTGTTGTGACATAAAGTCGATGGCAATAATTTACTATGTCCAAAATCAAACGTGCTGTCTTACTGATGATGAATGCAGTTAACTCTGCTTTGCGGGACAACTAATGAAACACAACCATCTGATTCCATGCGTCTTAGAATACGTGTCTCTGTGGAGCTGCTTTGTATTTAATTGGACCCCCTCAATGGCACTCCTTTGTCTTGAAGCTCAACATATTTCCCTGTTACCTGTGATCCTTTTTCTGCTGGTGATTGCATTGCAAACAACATGTTCTGTCACTCAGCTCTAGTCCTTTATTTTCCGTAAGAGTGCCTTGCCTTCAGTGGTGGCTGGTGGGGCAGAAGGCAGGGAGCCCAGGCGGTAGATTGAGCCAGAGCCAATGGCAGGTTGAGCCAATTAATTCTAGTTCCATCTTCCATCCTCTTCCTTGCTGAGTTCTACAAGGGCAACACTGTGATAAAGGAAGGCAAGCAGGCAGGGACTGGCTTAGGGGAGACTGGTTGGTGGGGCAGCACCAGACTTGCCCTATTGGACTAGCCTTCACAGCTTGCATTTATGGTCATTTGATGGTTGCCCCTAGTTAACCAGAACAGATATCTCCAGCAGGCCTAACTATGGGCTGGATTCTGGCCAATGTGTTTGCATCTGACATGGGAGTGAGTGGTTCATAGGAGAGCTCCCATGTCTTTAAATAACACTGGGGAATGAATTAGACTACACAGGGAGCAGATGGCTCTGATGTTCTGTGGTCTGCTTTGATTTTGTTTTCTTTTTGAAAGTAAATTATAGGTTGTTTGCCTAAAAGCTTTGGGATGTGTTTTTTCTTTATCTGATGCCTATAAAAGAAAAGAGCTGGTCAATGTCAACCCCCCCCCAGTGGCAGCCCCCTGCATTATTTGAAATAAAAAAATCCCAGTGGCCCAGAATAATGGTTGAAGCCCTGATTTTTGCTGTTTGGGAAAATTAGGAGCTTACTAAGACAGACGGCGCTGTGGGTAAAACCTCAGTGCCTAGGACTTGCCGATCGCATGGTCGGCGGTTCGAATCCCCGTGGCGGGGTGCGCTCCCGTCGTTCGGTCCCAGTGCCTGCCAACCTAGCAGTTCGAAAGCACCCCGGGTGCAAGTAGATAAATAGGGACCGCTTACCAGCGGGAAGGTAAACGGCGTTCCGTGTGCTGCGCTGGCTCGCCAGATGCAGGTTGTCACGCTGGCCATGTGACCCGGAAGTGTCTGCGGACAGCGCTGGCTCCCGGCCTATAGAGTGAGATGAGCGCACAACCCTAGAGTCTGGCAAGACTGGCCCGTACGGGCAGGGGTACCTTTACCTTTACCTTTAAGACAGACGATCGTCTTTTATTCTTTGTGGGTGGTTTTGCATGACATTAAAAAAAACCACAACAATGAGTGTTTTTGAAATACAGTGAGTGTTTTTTTGAAAAACATTGCATTCTGAAATTTTCCAAGCTGGAACAAAATCTATTTCCCATTTGTTTTGTAGTTTTACAAAGATCATGTGATTCAGCCAAGTGAAAATGAAGATGATTTAGGTAAGGAACAGCTGTGTTTTTTCAGTCCCCCCCCCAATGCCTTATAATCTTCTGGTTATCACTCTCTCTGGTGACAAGGAGTTGCAGGTTTGGAGATGCACTACAGAGACCTGTCTCCCTTCTCTGTCTCTCTCCCACTTTTTTCAGCTGCCTTAAAGGACCAGTACCTTGCTGTATGTTTCTGGGCTGACCACCAGGGGGAAGGTGTTGCGTCTCCGGGCCTCTTCATGTTCCGACTTCCAGCCTCCATTGTTTTCTTTCCTGGTTCAAAGTGGAGGCCGGCTCTGTCCTCAGCTCTGCTTGCAAGACAGAAATCATATGGGAAATAAGGTGCTCGAACAGAGCATGAGCTGAATGCCTTCTTATGGATGCTAATTAGTAGTTCTGTGCAATCTCACATTTAAGCATGTAAGATTAGACCATTGTTGTTTTTTTGTTTAAGCTATTTTCAGTCACAAGAGACCAGTGTGGTATTAAGCAACATATTAATGGCTCATTTCAGATATTAACATAAATTCTCGTTTACATATTTTTCAGTTTTGAGAGATCAGATTCATTGAAGGTATAATATATTTGCAAATTTGTGTCTCCTTCTGAGGCAGAATGGGAAGGTTTCTCTGCCTGCAGAAGCCTTGCCTACTGGGGTTGCATGGCAATAGCAGCAGGGGTGGGTGAGGGCACCGCTCCTCAGGATTCTACCACCTAAGGCAGATGCTTCAGTCCACCTCATGGCACAGCTGTCAACCGTCCCTTATTTGGCGGGAAGGTCCCTTATCCTAGCGCTGTGTCCCGCTGCTGTCCCTTATTGATGATGTCCCTTAAATTGCCTGGGTTTCAAAGGAAGCAGCTCCTCTACCTCCCTCCCAGCCAGGGAGGAGGGAGGCTCCAACTGTGTTGCTTGGCTGCGTTGCTCACCCAATAAGGAGTCTAAGAACGACTGGGGGGTGGAGCTTTCATGCCTTGTGCCGATCAAATCGGCCGCGTTGCCTGGGGACTCACCTTTGCTCAACGCTTCCCAGCGAAGAGGTGACGGTGGTTTCCCTTGCTGCATCCCCTTTGCTGGGTTGCTGCACTGTGGGAACCACCGCTTGAGGCTTCATTTAGCTGCTGGCTGGGCTTTCTGCCTTTGGCTCGGAGGGGCTCAGAAGTTGAACATACCTGTGCTTGGAAAATCCCTTATTTTGGCTGCTGATCCCTTATTTTCGAGGCTGCTGGTCCCTTATTTTCAAATCTGTAAGTTGACAGCTATGCCTCATGGGCAGGCCGGCCATGGTAAGGCCTGACACAGAGGGGAAGAGTTGTCTCCTAACACCTCTCCATCCCTGGACTCATCTGGTGCAAGCAGCGCGGAAGGCAGTGTGTAGAAGTTCTTAAAAGTAACTGAGCTGTTGCAAAGGGGTAGGGCATGGTGATGGTTTATTTGTAATGGAAAATATGCCGCACATCTTTTAAACTGAGTTGTTCCTTAATAAAAGATGAATGCTGCAGTATTATCACACCAAATAGCTTGACGTTTTTTTTAAAAAACAACATTGTTTTGGGTTTCTTTCTTTCTTTGGGCATTGTTATATAAATAAGCATAATTGTTTTTTCAAGCAAAGAGCACAGCGGGCGACAGGACTGGGGGGGAAATGGAAAGATGACAATAATCAGGGGAAAGGAATGAGGAAAATGAGAGATAATGGCATCAGGGGAATGTCCAGAGAGAAAGGAACAAGAGAAATAAATAAACTAGGGAGGGATAGGACAAAGTATCTGTGTCTATGTCATAAAATTAATATTACAAGTCAAGTTATTATAAATTGTAAAGCTGATAAGGCTCTCCTCTTCTTCTGCATTACTGTCTCACTTAACAAAACATCTTTTGATTAGAAGGAATTAGGAAGAATATTAGGAATTGAAGGCATCTTTTGAAAAGCTTGTCAAGATCTCTTCCATTGGATTAACAGTCTGCTATTATGACCTTCCATCGCAGACAACAGCAAGACTTTTCTGCCAAAAGGAAACTCTTTATACAAGGAGGGCACTATTCATTTATACAAATGCAAGAAGCCCCTTTTGTTTTACTTCAGGTCCTTTATTTTAAGGGTTGTTTTCCTCCTATGTAGGGATCTGGAATAAGACACAACTTTTCAAAAAATAGCCTCAGGCAGCAAAAGATCTTGAGCTAGCTCTGCAAAACAGGAACGCTCTCATGATCTCTGATTGTCGCAGCGACATCACTGCCTGTAGTTTGTTGCCACATTGTTATGCCATTACACAATGCAGGAAGTTATGTTCTGTAAAGAATCAAGTTATAAACGTACAATTGTTTTAGTGACATATCTTTGCTTTTACTCATATATGGAAAGTTGTAGCTCAGTAGTAGAAAAATCTGCTCTGTACACAGAAGGCCCTAGATTCAATCCCTGGCAACTCCAGGCACGACTGGAAACGTCCCCCTTCTGAAACCCTGAAGAGCCACTGCCAATCAGTGTAGATCAGAGGTGGGCAACATCCAGCCTATGGGCCAACCTTGACTCGCCAGGGAGTCAAAATAGGCCTGTGGGAACATTTTGTCCAAACTGCTCCCACTTGCCCGTCTGTTGATGTCACCTGTGACACCAGCTGATGAGTAGGAGAATAGAGTTAATTCCTGCATCAGCTGTACACCCCCTTTTTCTCAACAAGGAACAGGCATTCTCAGCCAAGGTAGCAAGATTACATTCCCATGCATCAGCAGAGGAGCAAGGCTTAAACCTTGTTCAGTTCAGCAGGATTCCATGCAAACCCCTTCATGATTGTTGCAAATCCATAACTACAGAATAAGACGGTATCTTGTGTGGGGCCTTTTTCGTAAGGGCTCTGCAGAGACCAAGGGAAAAGAGAAGACGTTAATTTCTGATTTAATTCACTGAAATGAGCAAAGTGTGAATATTGCTCTTAATTGATGTATTAGGAAACTTTCTTCCATTTTTTCCCCTTTTACGTATAACGCACTTTAGGTGAGATTTTTCTGTTCTGTGGTTCCATTATACATTGAATTGCATTGATCTCTTCATCAGAATTGCTTCCTGCCATGAATAGTTCTGTGTAGGATAGGTCATGTTGCTCAGTGTTGACTACTCTTCCATGCACTTGTGTGGCTCTTTGGTCTAAACCACAGAGCCTCTTGGGCTTGCTGATTGGAAAGTCGGCGGTTCGAATCCATGTTGGGGTGAGCTCCTGTTGCTCTGTCCCATCTCCTGCCAACCCAGCAGTTCAAAAGCACACCAGTGCAAGTAGATAAATAGGTACCGCTGCAGCGGAAAGGTAAACAGCATTTCTGTGCACTCTGGTTTCCGTCACTGTGTTTTGTTGCACCAGAAGGTGTTTAGTCATGCTGGCCACATGACCTGGAAAGCTGTCTTTGGTCAAATGCCGGCTCCCTCGGCCTGAAAGCAGAGATGAGCGCTGCAACCCCATAGTCTCCTTTGACTGGACTTAACTGTCCAGGAGCGCTTTACCTTTACCGTTCTTCCTTGCAGCAACTCTTCAGAATCTTTCACACCAGCTGCATCTTAGAAATGGCAGGGCTTGATCCCTGGAGACCTCTGCAAACAAAGTTCATGCTTTGCCACTGAGCTATGGTCAGTGCTTCTTTGGTGTGTGCTTTCTGAGGCCCAGATGTGAGGTGAGATGATGATACATTGAACTGCGTCCATTTAGAACTGAGATAGCCAGTGAGGTGCCCTGCAGATGTTTCAGACTACAACTCCCATCCACCCCAGCCAGGATAGCCAATGGTCAATAGTGTTGCAGTCCATAACATGTGGAGGGCACCATGTTTTCTACCCCTGGTAATAGATTGTGGGTAGGGAATGTAGCTAACACGGTGGCTGAGGAAGAACTCTTTCCCATGGCTGACTTCCGGTGCAGCGCGATCTCGTCACAAGCGGGGGTTTTACCGAGAGGGAAACCCCGGGCTATTTTTGGAGGATAGGGGGTGCTTTAGGGCGCGAAAGCCCCCCGAAAACTTCTCTGGAGGGAGTTCAGAGAATCAGGTTCCCGCAGCGACTGAAAGCGACCAGCTCTGCCGTCAGGTAGCCTCAAACGAAGCGAAGAGTACGGCGGTGCTGTGTAGCGGTCGAGGGACGCCATTGCCGACCTCCATATAGCGAAACCCCGGGCTTGTTGTGAAAGCGCTGCGCTCTCACATGAAAGAATCCCGACTTCAAAAACTTTTTACTTTGTGGGAGCACCAACAAGGAAGTCGAGAAGCGAAGTGAAAAACTTAAACGGAGTTCAGCTTGGAAACGGAATCGGACAGGAGCAGCACGAGCCCAGTGCTAAGAAAACGAAAGTGAGTTACCCTGACGGATACTTTGTTTCCTCCTTGTCTATCCTCCCTCAATGTAACTTTGGCGTAGCGACTGAATATTAAAACATCAAATGCGTGGGGCAGGAAAGGAGGGACCAGGGATAAACTGTTAAAGCGAAAAGTCCTTGAGAGAACAGAGGTTTGAAAATATATGAAAGGGGTACCCCTCCATACTCTGAGCTCAAAAGTACAAAGAGAAGAGAAACCGGAAGAGGAGTCTCCGTCGCCATTACAAACTTCTGAGCGTGGAGGACTGAGGAAAAGCGTAAGGAGAAGGAAAGGAAAGGAAAGAATAAGAACATAGCTACAACTATCTCTGCGGTGGGGAATTTTTGAGTGGGGAGGACTGAAGGAAAACGTAAGGAGAAGGAATGAAAAGAAAAGAATGAGAACATGGCTACAGTCATATCTGCTGTGGGGAAAATATAGACACTTCGGGTTTATTGGGAATGCATCTTGGTTTTGAAGCAAATACACTTTGGACCCACTATAAAGGTACCTTTCCCTAAATTTACTTTTGGGACTTTTGATATATAAGAAAGACTGAACATCTGTGAAAGAGGACATTGCTACATATGGGAATATAGCACTACTCAAAAGAGACTTGGTGACCTCTAGTGGCGAAACTAAGACTAACTGATTTATAATTCTTTTTTTTTCT